AATATTATAATTAGTTCAACTGAAAAAATTTAGCTGCAGCTTATATAATTAATGCACTTCTAATAATACATTTTATAGAATAGTTTTTTGGTTGTCTTTCCAAGCTTTTAATGAATATATATATATATATATATATATATTTAGTTATTAAGTGACCAAGCTTTTAATGAAAATATATATTTATATATATATATATATGTAAATGATTATATATATATCTTAGTAATTAAAAGAAGCATACTACTCTTTCAAAGGAAAAAAGAATTATAACACAACTAGTTACAACCTCAATATTATATATATATACAAAAACAACAAATTTAGGGGGAAAAAGAAAAAGATGAAGAAAATCATTGCATGCTAACCCAAATACCTTCACTGGGTATATCTTGATAAGCCACAAAGAGAAGATAATATCCAAAGGGTGCAAGATTTACTGAACTCGGTGTTGTAACAAAAACTTGATATACAGATCCTCCCAAGCTACTAGCTTTCTGATTTCCCAGTATCAAAATCCTCTGATTCATACCAAATGAATGTGTTGTAAACGATGGAGCCGCCATTGTTACACTCACCACTATTTCTTGATCAGCAGAAACTAACATGTCTGTCACTGTGAATTCAACTCTGAGTATTTGATTATATCCAAGCATGGAGTAAGAAGGTGGCGAGAAAATCTTTGGACGTAAGTTGGAGAATTGAAGGTCTAGATATGGCGGACTGAAAGCTTCTAAGCTTAACTCAGTTGGGTAAACGACGTCGGAGAAGTTGTAGAACACATGAGGGTTACTTCCACCAACTAGAATTCTTCCATCTCGGAGTAAGATAGCTGCAGAGTGATACATTCTGGGAATGGTGGATGGGTTTTGGATTTCGAATCTGAATCCGATTGTATATTCGGTTTATATATACCAGGTGTAAGAACTGGATTTCTTCCTAACTCCCACCTGCTGTTCCCCTTGATGCACATTAATGATCAGAATATGACATTTGGAAGTATATCATATCACCCATTACCCTAGATTG